CCTTTGGTCTCGTACCACCGCTGAATTACTAGGGGCAACTGTTCCCGGAAGTTGAATTTGACACTTAGCAGGCTTGGGGAACTAATCAGTGTGAGATGAGCTGGACGAGGTAGTCGGTTTGCGCAAGCAGTGACAGTTTCCAGCTCTGGAACACCGTATGTGGCCATAGAGGTAGAGGGCATCAGTTTCGGTGATTCCCTCGCCATTCACTTGTTAGTCCATGGCTTGTCACGTCCCGCCAGTGTGGTGAGAGCTGTCTGCTAGCCAAAGTTGGTAGACAGCAATTTACGTCAATGTTTACCTCCCAAATCTTGGTCATGGGAAAAAACAAGAACAAGGACTAACTCAACAACCAATCACGTCAGACTTAGCGTGGGCGGATACGATTAACAAATATATCAACCGACTGTCTAAGAAACAGCAACAAAGAGATGACAGAATAACTCTCAACAGGAGAACAACCAAACAAAAGACGTTACCTCTTTGCTAACAATAACAAATAATAATGTACATAAAAATCTATAAATATCTGTTGATTTTCTCAATAAACGATTTGTTGCCTGGACCTTGTCTTCTGTCGTTACACCCTTACGTTGGAACTCCACTCGTTAGCTATACTTGAGCCAGTGACAGTATTCTTCCAGCCTCTTCGGCAGAGCTCAGTGTTACCCTTAATGGAGGTGTCTTACATTGAGTTGCCCGGACACCCCTATACAGCCTGCACAGTTTCGCCGAATCGATGCTCAGATCTAATTTATTGCACGAATTGGACTACTGTTCATTGCCAAACAAGGGCCTTTGTTCAGGCAAACACTCATTGCACAAGGGTGCATTAAGCACGATAAGGGAATTCGATCGGCTGACCTCAGACTTAGGTTTAGTCTTCGGATGCTTATCCTCCCTTGTAAGGTCGGTCACTTTAGATTTCATCATGTTCTGACCAGTCTATGCTATGTTGCCATGCTTGCTAGTGGATACAAGTGTTGCTTTGGCAATTCCATCTTCTCCTGCTGTTATAGGTTTCAACTTGGGAGTCTTCAGTTTATGAAGATTGATATTTTCTGCCGGTTGGAATGGAGTATCCTTCCTACGGTTTTTACCAAGTTTTAGTGGTGTGGTGTTATCAAATGGAGAGCTGCATGAGACTGTGTAGAGACGCAAATGTGGTGTACTGTTTCTGCTATCCTCATCCACGCTGTGTGAGACTGTGACAGGGCGATAAAATGGACAGATGTACGGAACCATGGGCACGGGTTATTTCGCGTAAACTCATAACGTGGTCTTGGAATCCCTTTGTCACAACAGAAGTGCACCCATCGATTATAAAATTAGCATTCAAATGCTGAATCAGTTTAAGAAACGACAACACTACTGGCCTAGCATTCGTCTCCATCGCTAGAAGATGCATTCGAAGTCTTACGACGTCTTGGGCGTTTCCTTTTTGTTTTGATGTATGTCACATACTGGCTCTCAACGGATATGGGTGAAGTATCATATCCACCTGGTATTGCCTGTGCCGTTTCAGTGCTGGACTGTGACAATGTAGGCATAGTATCAGAACAGGGGAAATGTGCACGGGTCTTCAGAATCAATTTGGGAAATGGGGTTAGTGTCCCTGGGTTATTGCCTCCTCTGGCTGAAGCCCCTGTGACTGCAGAATATGGTGTTTTGGTGGTTTTTAAGTCTACTTTCAACCTCCATATTAACAATTACTATAACTTGTGCCTATATATGAATAAGAGGTAACAACAGCATCTGCCCAACAGAACAAGAACAAAAGGATTGATAAAGTACAAGACAGGGAATATAAAAGGTTTTCGACTTTACCAAGTACTTTTCGGTTACTCAGCTTCGCAGCGATCACATGACAGGCCAACAAGTCTTGTTTATCTGAACGAGTGAGGAAAATACTGCTACACCTGAAGCTTTGGCAGTAGTTGGAGGCGGCTGGACTTACCTCCCAGAGATTTAATTCACCAGCTGAGATGATCACAAAATAGGTATTTTCTGCTTAGAGAGGAAAAAGTGAGTCGTATTCAGGGAGTGCGCTCGGATCGAAATGTTATCCATGGACTGAGGTGTTCCGCTAACAGAATGCTGTCCAGCTGTGCAAAGCATGACAGTCCACAACCCGCCCTTTCTCAAGCCACTTTTACATGTAAGAAAGACGTCGTTTGTTGATATATTAATTGATACAATCGTCTAACAAGCTGTTAACGACTGAAAATCACTCTAAGTGGCACTATGATTAACAAAAGTATACTGGTGTATCTGTATCCACCATTGGTGGATATCTTTTCCTTTTAATGGCCTATACTGCGGCAAGGTTTATTAAAGTATTTTTTTATTCCTTCACGTTCCCAGTGGAACATAAGGCTCCAAGCTAGAGGCTTGAAGTTTCTGTAGCAGTGTTTATTTTTACAGGATGGGGTTGCCATCCTCATGCCCAACCTTCCCTCTTTACCAGCTTTTTATTACTAGCTGAGCGAGGTAAAGGAGTGCGTCGGTCGAGGATCGAACCCCGGACCATGTGTATGGTTGGCAAGCGTCCTAACCGCTGTACCACCGACGCACTTGTTAAAGTATCAACTTTTGGAATCAACAGTTCAACTTCTACCTATAGTGTGTAGCTGATTTGACATGAGACCACAGTAAATCTGAATCAAAAAATCTCCGTTTACTGGCTAACTGCATTAAAAAGAACTATTTACTGCCTCACTCCGGCTTTGTAATTACTTCTGGATTAGCGAGATTGATTTCGGCTTTGTTGTGTTCTCTGATATCACTGGATTAACTTCTAGGCCTACAGTGTGCTTCTGGGTACCATCTTCCATGCTGACTTCGCCCTGGGGTAAGGGTTGAAGATGCTGTTCAGAAGTACGATGAAAGATCCCAGATTGAACCATCCAAAACCTCGTAAATACGTCTTGAGTGGCTCATCACTCAGATTCACTTACAAAGCGGATAAAAATCTACTAAAGACAGGGGGTTTCCAACCTCTTTGAATCACAAAAGCTTTTGCCATTTGCATTGAAGAGTCGAAGCTGTGCATTCAAAAAAAATAGTCCAACCTCCATATTTGCCATGGATCTAGTACTGTTTAGCTCCAACTCGTAAGTGGCAACCGTGAACTTTCAAAGGTAATTTTCTTACGGGCGCTTTGTTCACCTTTTTTGAAACGGTCATTGCTATTCCTCTTTGCATCCTATATCTAGTAACTTGCCTTGACACTCTGGAGATAATGTAGTCACTGAGTTCAAACGAGGTAAAGCATCCTTTAACCCCTCATGTTACACATTTCGGAGAGAAACATGGGGTAAGAAATGTGGAGTAAACTTTTGTTCCGAAGTACCTTGTTCGGTATTACCAGAGCAAAATATAACTATTGAAGGTTTCTGTATCCAACACAGATTAAAGCACTTTGTTTGCAGACTGGTTTATATCAGGTTGGAGACTTATTTTCGCCACGCATATTAGGAAAAGAATAAGCTTAAGGAAAAATAAGGCTCAATAGTATTAAAATGGTAGAAAGATAATATGCAAATATGATAATGTATATTTTTATGGCACTTAACTATTCAGCCACTCTCTACAGATGTTAGTGACTGTTAGGTGGTGTTGAATGGCTTTGTTAATCACAACTAGTTCCTCAACTTCCGATGACCAAACTCCTTGCCGTGAGTTTTACCGCATGTTAGCCCACAGAAAACAGGAGTGACAAGATCGGAAAGCTTATGCATCAAAAACCCGTTTCACGTGGTAACTGAACCCGTATATACAAACAGTTGTGTTGAAATTGGCAAAATTATTGGTTGAACGGGTAACTTCAGCAACATTCAATTATACACTGTCTGGGTGAAAGACAGTATTGAGTGGAGTACCTCAGGGAACTGTACTAGGCCTCTTGCTATCCCCATCATACGTAAGTGAACTGCCAGAACTTCTTACTTCATTTTCATTATTATTTGCGGATGACATTGAGATCAGGAAAACTGTAAATAATAACGATTATAGGTTGGTACTTCAAAACGCTCTAGATAAATTAGCTGAATACGTTAACCTTTGGAGACTGGAAATCAGTTCCAAGAAGAACGGGGCATTGCACTTAGGTCAGAGGCCGTAAACGTCGTACCCCCTGGGGGACACAGTTGCCAGGTGTTAAGGGAAAAAAGACTCAGGAATTATTGTCAGCAATGACTTAAAGACAACCGCAAATTACAGTGTTGGTGCGGCTAAGGGTATGCTAAGGGTACTTCAAAGGGCTTTCAAACGACAAGATGAGTCTATGTTCCAAGTACTCTACGCAACATATGTCAGGCCTCATCTAGAATGTTGCATACAGGAGGTGAGTCCATGCTTCAAGAAGGAGGCACACATCCTGGAAAGAGTAAAGGGGGTAGGAACCAAATTAGTTAGTGTTATCTCACACCTTCCTTGTGATAAAATGATGGAGCATTTAAATCTCTTCCCATTATCATACCGACGGAGGAGAGGCGACTTTATTTTGTCATACCGTTTATTAGAGGGTGGTTTAGGGATGTAACTTTCAAACCTTTACTCTCCTTCTAGGATATATTTATGAGGTCACGACAAGAAGGTGTTCAAACCGAGGTCAAATGAAGTACATGTGGAAATTAGATTCTCTCACAGAGTGGTCAACAACTGGAACTCCTTACCTGATTCAGTAGTAAAAGTTCCATTGGTGAACACTTTCAAAAAGAAATTAGATCTCTGCACAAATATATTGCAAGGTTTAACATGGGCAACAAGAGTCTGATATCCTTAATATCTGAATCTGAAGTGTAAGATAGGCCCACCTTGGAGGTTTAAAATGATCGCTTGACTTGGAACCAACTTGCTTCTGTTAATTAGATATATAGATATTACGGAGACACAAAAGTGAATAGTTATTTATGAAGAATGCAAGTCAAAGCACCTTATAACCGAAATTCGAACCTAAAGTAATAAGTGAATTTCCTGCAAGCTCGTAAGAAGGGAATTGTTAATTGAACATTGGGTTGGCGCTTAGTTCGATTTTTCACCGAAATGAAGGTTGAAGCTGTATTACTGTCAATATTTCTGTCTTTAGTTAGCGCTAGGAGTAAGTTTCAGTCGTTTTTTGAGTAAGCTTGGTCTTCCATACATGGGAATAAAGCATACGTTATTCTTTCCCATCCTGGTCTGACTTGTGGGGATACAGTTACTCGTAAAATCATACGTATTCAGAACCATCTGTGAAAAAACGATTCCTGCGTCTTTCTCTATGTATTTTTAAATGAGGCACCTTCTTGGATATATGGTTAGGCCGTGGTAGCTTGTTGAAACCCATCAGCTGCTCTTTTTATGGGGTAGAGTATTCAGGGAATCTAAATGACACTGCAAATATTCCTGCACTTCTTACCATACCGGAACCACCGGTGGGGTAAAGATCTGACTGTTTTTGTTCCTTGATGCAGACCTACATAATGCTTTGTCATTCGAACAGTTCTGTAATATTCTAAAGTAGAAATGGCTGATTAGGAAGGGGGCTTCAAAAAAGTCTCTACATGCATTCAAAGGGATTTGGATGGACTTTTGCCGTGTAATTTTTCTCTGTACCTATTATGTCTAGTTATTATGGAAAATAAGGCAGACATCCTCAACATCTGTGTAATTCGCAACAGAGAGTTATTTATACAGTTCTTATCATGCTAATGAAAGTGAGCCCACGTGTCATTCTTTTTGTTGACTGTATATATACTAATTGGTGATCCTAATTTTTACCAAATCAATAAAGTATAATAAGGTTGTTTTGACCTGACAGAGAAATTTTATCATCTAAAAAATAACCAGGTCGAAAAGCTGTTCTCGTCCTCGTGCTCCATTTAGATATCTACTAGTTAAGGACAAATAGTGTTAGTCAATGTAGTGTTAGGATGAGAAATAGTGTTGGTGGGACGTAAACGTGACACCCATCCATGATGTCTTTAGCCATTGTGTCGAGCCACAACACATGGACTCATAGATTGTCTATTTGGGGTCATTTAGATGTTTAGAGACTGCCATGGATCTCTCTGCCTAATATGAGACAGATTTTTGAGAAACGAAATTCCGCCCCAGGATTCATAACCGAACCGCAAGTCAAAACAAGTGTAGACCTATTAACAAAGAGAAGGGTAGAGCCAATTGATGAAACATGTAAAATGTTTAGTCAGGAATAAGTATCAACACTTGTCTCCGCACGAATAACTCAGGGATTATCTCACTGTAAGATTCAATTCCTTATTGAGGTACTTAAAAAAAGCGTTATTTTTATGCGACTGTACAACCCAAGAGACATCTGCTTAAATTTGGTCACACGTGACTTGCTTATATTAATTTAGTGCACCTAGTGATCTTTACTATCGGCACTCGGAAAACTGTTTGGGAGCCTACTTTGTTTTAAACCCGTCTTCATCAGTGATCAGTTTAACTGAGATGCGACACTACCGTTGCATGGCTGCTAGTCACTAATACTACTTTGCTGACGGTAACTTTTCACAAACTCACCCACATTTAGCAAACATCTCCAAGATAATGAGATTTCAGAAATATCCCTAATTTGTGTAGCTTAGTAGTGTCTGAGTTTGTATATAGTTGTGGTTTAAAATAGTATTCGTAACTTGTGGTTTTCAAAGTTTTTTTTATGTTCATTTGGGTTATAATTTGACGCTTTCGTGGTATTCTTCCACAAAATTGCGATACTTACGATGATAAAAAGAGCTATTCTAATATGGTACTTAAGACGGGTCCGGTCGGTCGGTCGGTTTTCGACATAGAACTTTGCACATATGTGCGGCAGTTCAAGTCGCCACAATCTATGTAGCACGCAAAGCAAGAGAAGGAAGTAGAAGAAATGCATAATATAGACAGTAAACAGAGGTGTGAGCCAAAGGAATAGTAATAACGGAGAACAGAACAGTTTCATCGGAAATCATAAGTCACAAGGAGTGGATGCATCTGCGCCACGATTTTAAGCCATGTCACCAATTGTTTCCAACCATTGGTTTTTACCGTCCCGAGGACCCCAACCAGGAAGTCTACATCTTCCTACGTGGCTTAGACTGACTGTTGTGGATTTTATTGACTGGTGCCATGTTTTCGTTTGACCGCCGCTAGCTCTTTTCCAGCCTGACCCTATATCAGCTAACATTGCCCGTCGGGGAAGGCGATGACTAGGCATACGTAGCACATGTCCTAACCATCTCAGTCGAAGTAATTTCACAGTTTCGTCGATTGATTTCCCCGCCTTACCTAGCACTCGACGCCTAACCTCAATATTGCTCACCTTGTTATACCACTTCACACGGGAGATAGAACGCAGACACCTATGATCGAAGACAGCTAATCTTTTCATGTCTTCCGCTCTCAATGGCCAGGTCTCACAGCCATAGAGGAGGACGGAGCGGACTGTTGAGCAGTACACACTCCCTTTGGTCGATAGTCGGATATCACGTCTACGCCAGAGACGGCGTAAACTGGCGTATGCGAACCTAGCCCTCTGTATTCGTGCTGATATTTCGTCTGAGATCAACCCGTTGGGGCTGATGGTACTTCCCAAGTAATTGAAGACGGGTCCACCTACTGCTCTTTCTTGTAAATAGCAAAGAATCAGCTATGATAATTTTTTTCTTGTTTGTGGTGTGTGTGTGTAGGAAAAACGGCAACGTGGAACGTCGCACAGGAGATTATCTTCTAGAGCTGCCTTATTCACTAAAAGCACGAATAGTCAGGTGAATGCGGAGAATTAGTTGACAAAGTTACATGTCCTTGGTGTTCGAAGATGGTTCGTAAGACAACATGAAAACGTGTGAAGGATTCTTTTTGTGATTACAACTAACTGACTATTTCATACATTTTCTTTTACAACATTGGATAGTTATAAGAACAGTTTAATTGATAGTAATAACACTGAACATGTAAATTGAAGATTATTACCTCTTTTTAGTAGGGAAACTACAAGTTTGATGGTAGTTGAAAATTAGTCAGAATTTCGCACAAGAACTAACCAAATTAACAGGTTTGAGTATAAAACTGTGTAAATGGAAGAAGTTTTTAAGGCAAGGTGTAGTCAAATGGAGCATTTAAACAGTAAAAACATCTTTAGATCCCATGCCGTTATTTCCGTTGATAAATTTGGACAAAGGAAAAAGAACACACTGAGTAAGATAAAGTGATGCCATTATTTATAGATGTACTCACCTAACAAATAACAAAATATAAAAGTCATTTCATCTTGCTCAGTATCTTCTTCTTGCTTTGTTCATTGTTAGATTAACAGTAAAAATGTGAAGATTACAGGGAAAAGTTGACTAGATTCAAGGTGGAAACGTTTTTTCCGTATAAAATCTTAATCTCTTCTTACATATCGAGGAAGCTTCCAAAGTACAAACAAGTCAGAGACTTACTATCTTTGGCGATTCCTTTTCCACTTTGTAGATGGCTGTAAAATCCTTCAGGATATCGGTTGTCAAGTCACTTTTAATGTCCTAATTCATGTATATATTGCCTTCAGAACTGAAGTAAATACCTGTTCTGTTTGGGTTTTATGTTCTTGTTTGTAAATTATGTTGAATATCCCCGTTTCTAACCAAAATTTTTCTGAGAATTTCATGTTTTGTGGTAATCTGGTTTACAGATTTGTGTAATGTAGTGGTCGGAAGGTATAGTGAAATTTGTCTTATAGTTGCTTAAGTTCTTTTCCTACACCCTTTTGTTGATGCATCTCAATGTTCTGTTATCTTGTTTAGCCAGTTCTGCATCCAACTGTAGGATTCTCGATCTTCTTTCCACTCTGAGTGTTAATTTAACTTAATGACATCAAATTATGAACATACTTAAAATGACAATCATTAAGGCAAATTATAAAAGTATCGTCAGCATACCTTTAGTATACTAAAAACTGATAAATTACTAGCTTTAAATTTCTGCTTTCTACACTGGACGTAAAACGTCTGTCAATAGCGACTGAAGTTGATTAACCACAAGAATTAGATCATTTTAGCAGTAGGTCCCATCTAAAGTCAACACCGATCGATAAAACAAAGTGGGTATCAACATATGTGTCAAGTCCCACAGAAATAAGTGTATTAGAAAAGGGACTAAATTTCATTGTAGTGGTAGATAAGCTGAAACCTGAGGATGTCATTCCTAAAATAGAAATAGCACTAAGTGGGATAGAAACAACAACGGCCGATGAAGTACAGGCACAACGTGAACTGACATTAAAACGACAATATAGAGGAAAACTTAACTTGACGAAACTAGAGGTGAAAACCCTAAAACACCTTAAGAATAACAAGGACTTAGTAGGTCCCATTGTTGAAGAAGAGGAAGTCAGCGTTTAAAGGTCATGTGAATAGCAGTTTTTTTTTCATTATTTGTGAGGAACATACTTCAATATTCAGGATGTTATCGTGTATTTGTTTGCATAAAAAAATATAATGCGAATAACGAATCTTATGTCAAAGTGATAATGTATACCCTCCAGTTACATGGGAGTTTCCAATCCTGGAAATGTCCTTGTGAGTTACTCTAGAATTTCAGCATGTTACCTTCCAAATCAATAGTAAAGCAAGTGCTACTTGGCTAACTATCTGAATATGTTATGATTAAATATTTGTTGCCTATTGGCTCTTTAACCTGTGCTCCATGTTTCTTTGAAGTCTTTAATTTTCTTGTGAGATCAGTGTTAGTAATCGTTAAAGATAGTTGATTCGATGACAGGATTTCATCATGAGCTGACATCAGTTAGAGAACCATTGGAAAATCTGCCGGGAGCACTGGGCAATCAGCTGTTTCATCCTAGGTTGAAACTCTTCATCAGTACGCACCCACCACGGCAGTTCGAATCCAGGACCTTCCGGATACAATGCTAACAAGCTCGTAGACCATTAAGCCACTGCGACCCTATCCAATGGCCCGTGAATTCTAACTTCTACCAATTCACGACATAGTGCGACCACTAGCCAATGTCATTGGTGGCATTTGTCCTCACACCCGACCTGCTGCACCCTACTGGTCACGACAGTTGATTTGCGGTGTCACGGATCTCTGCCTAAAATTCGAATAATGTCATATGTTTTCAACTGACTAGGTTTGTATATTGAATTTATGCATAGAATTTGTTGGCATCCATGTTCTTCGCACCATATATTTACAATTGTACAGCATAAAATTTGCGGATAGTAATCTCGTCTCTTTTTTTAAGATCCAGGTTTCACTCTCACATGCTAGTCGAGCAGTGCTTGGTAATCTTGTGGTGGGATGGTGAACATATATCCCATGGATGTGTGACCTCAGTGTTACAGATTCTTGTCTGTACTGACCTAAAACCTGCATCCAATGTAGGCAGGCTCATTGCTTGCGATAAATCTCTCGCTGACGACCACCACATTTCATCTTTACTTTACGGAAGACTTTGATTGATTCGATAAGTCGACAACTAGCACTGTGATAGGTGTCAGGTGGATTGTCAATGTGCAGCTTTGCAAATGTAGAGAATATTGTTCATACTGACTGTGAGTTGAGGAACGATAACATTAGGATGTTACGATGCGATGGCAGTCATGCGTATTCTGTATTTTTCTGAAATCATCGATCAGAGATCTATTCAACTTCTGGCATTTCTAAGTCTGCTTTTTTTTCTGTTGGATCTTTTGGTTTGCACATTATCGAATGAAGTGATTGTGTAGGCTGGCTGGCTGGCTGGCTTGTGCGCTATATCTATTTCAAACGGTATTAATATTCTAGCTGTTAGTTATTTCAGAGATTTTTTTTATACATATGGTTGAACGAATTTTCCTGCGGTCTTTGATGATGATGATCTGTTATTGTTGTTATCACTCGAGTTTAAACACTTTCTGGTGAAAAATAGTAGTGAGGGTATCGATTCTTTTTGAAGATGTTTGTTAGTAGTAGGCATTTTTCCTCCATTCTCTTCAACACCGGAGTAGGAGTGCTACAGTGTGTGTTTGAACTCTGTTAAACATTGTCTGCACACACACACACACACTTGCTTTATTTCGTCATCATCATCATCAGCTTTTGTTTACTTTTCATTACTGATTATCTTTTTTTTTATGATTTTTTATTTTTTTTAGTTGACTGTGAAAAAAGCGTGAAATTGGAGGTTTATTTTGAAGATGTTCACCAACATGAAATATCGTATAAAAAAGCTTATGTGAATAAGTCTATTCCTGTAGAGTTGAGATATATGGTTTTCACTGAGAAGAAAGAAATCGATGTATGCAAGCCAACTTATGTTCTAATACTATATTTATGTAGCCTGAAACAATTACATGGAAACACAATGATGTGGTAATGAATATTGGTGACAGTGATAACCAAGATGTCTATTACAAATATGACAAAACTGCTCTTGGTTATGTAATTTTACTTCATCTGAAAATGCCAAGTAAATTTGTTATATTTAGCCTAGTTATATACTTTAATCCCACCTACCTACCTACCTCTGTATAGCTCCTCGTGTCACTGGTACTTGGACTCTTACTGTCAATACAAAGGATGGTGCACCACATAGTGGAAATTGTCAAATTACATGTAAGTCTGATGTATATACTGTAAAGTGTATAGATAATTTCATATTCCTTTTATATATATTATTTATTTAAAAAACTTGGTACATTATGAGCATCGAGAGTTGGGCCACATAGAATCATAGTTTATTGGAGGGCTGTGTGGAGGCCAACAGCACTCAGCATCAAAAATAACATCCGGATTTTCAACTCCAATGTGAAGTCAGTGCTACTTGCTATACGGACCAGAGACTTGCAATGCGCGTCATAAAGAGCATCTCAAACAAACTACAGACCTTCATTTACAGTTGTCTTCGCTCAATACCACTCAAGATCAGATGGCCGGCCAGAGAAGATCAGCAACAGAGATCTCTGGCAATGAGCGAACCAACCTAGCAGGAACCGATTGTGAAACAAATTGGCAGGAAGAGATGGAGATGGATTGGCTGGTCATACTCTGAGGAAACCATCAAGTGAGTGACATCACTAGACAAGCCATTGCTCGAGTGGAACCCTAAAAGGAAGCGGCGAGTTGGTCGTCAGTGCAAGGGTGACTTGGAGGAGGTCATGTGAAGAGGAGATGAAAGCGTGTGGGCAGACTTGGAGCCAGGTGAAGACTCTAGCAGAGAACCGAATGCAATGGAGACGCACGGCTGAAGCCCTATGTTCCTCTAGGAATTAATGGAAACAATAATAATGAATAATAATAATTGGAGGGCTGACTGACTGGTTTCAACGTAGAACTTTGCACAGATGTGCAACAATTCAACTTTCCGCTAGTCTTCCATGTAGCACACAAAACAAGAGAAAAGAGTAAAGAGAGATAATAAACAGGAATGTGAGGCAAAAAGAACGGTAATAATATAGAAAAACAATAGAGTTTTATTGGATATGATAAATCCTGAAGAGTGAATGAATGCATCTGCACGATCACTGACTGAGAACCATTTTCAGCCATATTACCGATTGTCTACAGCCTTCATTGGCTTTTACCAACCTGAGGACCCCAACCAGGAAGCCAGTCCCTACTTGGCTGGCTGGCTGGCTTAATCCAGTCACCTAGGGGGATGAAAACTGTCAGGCTGATTGGGTTCCTCGGGATGGATGGTAAGAACCAATGGTGGCTGGAGACAGTTATCGGTGATGTGGTTAAAAGTCGTTCTCAATGGCTGGCGGAGGCGCATTCACTCACTCTTTGTGATTTGTTATATCCAATCAAAGTCCTGTTCTTTTACCCTCACTCACACTTCTGTTTAGTATTTCTCTTTCTGTGTGTTTATCTCTCTTTTCTCTTCTCTTGCTTTGTGTACTACCAGCAGGGAGTGTGGCAACCCGAACTGCTGCACATCTGTGCAAAGTTTTACGCTTGGAGCCAGTCAGTCAGTCAGAAGACAGACCTTCGTTGATCTGAAATCAGTGTGGAAATCTGCTGCAGTCGGTTTAAAGAACAAGATTGAGATCTTTAACACTAATATCAAGCCAGCCAGCCAACCAGTGCTCTTATATATGGTTCAGAGACTTGGCGCATCACCAGACTTCAAACTTTTAGCAACAGCTGGCTAGCCAGGAATGATAAGCAACAGGGGAATCTGTCAGACAACGAATCAATGAAAATCCATAGTCCAACAAGTATGCTGAAGGGAATGATGTGATGGACACTGATTGACCATACACTAAAGAGACCTTTAAAGTGATGTCACCTACGAGTCCCTCAAGCAAAACCTGAATAGGAAGTGATGACAGGTGATTACGTGTCTGAGGGTGATATGTAGGTGATCGTGTGGCGAGGAGATGACAGCTTATGGTTCTTTGTAAAGCAAGCTAAAGATGGCTGTAGAGTAGAGGATGAAGTGTGGAGGAAATGTGCTGCTGTCAAACCTGATGTTCCATTCAGAGGACCTATTGGAATAGTAGCTTATAATACGATTAGAAGTACTTTCCAACAACAAAAAAAGAAAGAAGTATTATTAATTTCTGTTTGCTGTAATAACAAGTTTCCTCTTTATGCTTGTATAATACATTTTAGCTCAACCTATAATCCGTTCAAGATTCAGCGCTGTTCGTGGTCATGAAGGCAGTCCATTATCAGTTTTGTGTGAAATTGATGGTTTCCCTGCAGCAAATCAAGTTAGCTGGAAACGTCTTGTAGAGAAAAAAGATGGGCGTTCTGCACAACTATTACCAGTGACGAATGTAAGTTATGTTTGTCTAGACTTTCCAAAGTGGTTTAAAGTAATTCAGCAACATAAATAATATACACCTTTGTTCGGTTTTACAATACACAAAATCTTCCATGTGTTTGCTAATTTCATTTTGGATTTTCCTGTCGACTGGTTGAACTGAAGTGTTCGAGCTCTGTGTTGACTTGTCGTCTTCTTGTGTGTGGATGTGCATTTCGTCCTATTTGGGACTCGTCAGCCAGAGGGTGTACCTTCATTTCCTAGTGAGTGATGGTGTCTCCACTGAGACTCGAACCCAGTACCCATTGTTTCAAGCGCCGAAGCGTTGTCCACTAGACCACTTGTACCACGATAACTACAAAGGCCGGACACTTCGGTCCAATCAGTCAATATGAAAATCGAAATTGAGTTAAGTGATAGGTGACACGCGTCACACAAGAAGTGACTGTCGTCATTCAAGTGGTACTGGATTTGAAACTCACTCACTGAAGAATGCCTACGCATTCGGATGACGAGTCCTAAATAGGGCGAAATACGCATCCTGGATTCAGTAGCTGTGGTGCGTGGGTTGCTTTTTTATCAGGTGGGCGTTGTTAGCTTCACACCCAGCTTAACTTTTCCAGATTTACTACCGGCTATATTAGGTATTAGTGTAACAACAGAAGACAAGGGCCAGGCAACAGATCGTTTATTAAGGAAAATCAACACATATTTATAGATTTTAATGTACATGATTGTAGATTATTGTTAGTAGAAAATGCAGTCTTTTGATTGGTTGTTTCTCACAGAAAGTTAATCTTGCATCTCTTTGTGGCTGTGTCAGATCATCTATATGTTAACCGTATCCGCCTACGCAAAGCCTTTGTTCTCATTTTCTCACCACCAATATTGGGGACATAAACATTGACATCAATTACTGTCTACCAACTTTGGCTAGCAGCTAGCTCTCACCACATTAAGAGTGTGTCGGCAGGGATTCGAACCTGGTTTGACTGGTAATTATTCAACCGTTGAACTTGTGATGCAGAACTTTGCACAGAAGTTGCTACACTCCATGAAGTACACAAAGAAAGACAAAAGAGAGGAAAATAGAGATTTGGAAGAACGTTAATAAGCACAAATGTGAGGGAGAATGAATAGTGACAAAAAAAAAACAACAGTAGAGTTTAATTGATATGGTGGGTCACAGTGAGTGAATGCGTCTGCGTCAGCCATTGAGAACAATTTCCAGCCATACCATCAATTGTCTCCAGCCTTTTTGGTTCCTACCATGCCGAGGACCACAATCAAACAATCAGGAAGTCTACACCTTCCGATGTGGCTGGCTCATGGACCGACTCCATGTTTTGATTTAGCCGACCTAATCCTATGTCGGCTAACATTGCTCGTGGAGAAAGCTGGTGGCTCGGTATACATAATACGTGTCCTAACCATCTGAATCGATATAGCTTTACAACCTTGTCGATAGATTTTCCCTCCTTGCCTAATACTCGACGCCTAACCAACCTCAATATTGCTCACCATATTATACCACTGAACACAGAGGATGGAATGCAGATAATCTGTGGTCAAAGACAACTAGCGAGGCTCTTCATGTCTTCCACTTTCAATGGCCATGTCTGACACACAGCCATAAAAGAGGAGGACGGAGCAAACTGCTGAGCAGTACCGACAGTTTTTGATCGGTAACCAGCGAGAGTTGGTGTCGGTTGGTAAATGCCGCACGAACCTTCTGTCTCCGTTATGAGATTTTATCAACGATCAAACCTGTTGATGGAGCTGATGCAACTTCCCAAATAAGTGAAGTGATCAGCATGGCCAGCCACCACTCCACTCCTACCCATCTTTATTCTGGGAGTGAGTCGATGTAGCTCAGTTCTCGAGCACAACCCTACATTTGATAGGAGCAAATCGTATGCCAAACATCCGAAGATTGCTGCTGCTCAAGGTGTTCAGAAGAGTAAATTTTATCAGCATCTTCAACTAGGGGGACTATACCATCCGTATATTCTTCGTTAATAAGAGTACCCCCCCGGTAACAAGTCAATCCCTGAGTCGCTGAAGTCAGTTAGGGTTAATCCCATTACTACATATCGATGATGAAACTAAACAGAAAAGGAAGCAATGGGCATCCCTCATGGATACCGTTAGTTGTCATTACTTCAAATGGTAACTGTCCGTAAGCTCTTACACAGCTTCGTTAGTTCGAGTAGAATATCCTGACTACTGCAATGTACTTTCTCAACACTCATTCCACAGCCAAACATCATCAGAGTACCTTTCGGTGTAATGAGTCGAATTTCGCTTTCAGATCAAGAAATATGGCAGTTGTTTGACGCTGGAAAATATGCTCATGATCGAGAATTTGTCGAAGGGTGAAGATATATGACAATCGATACGCCCTCTTCCTGGCATAAGGCCTACTTGGTTTTCTCGTGTTTGTTTCTCTTGAGCACCCTCTAAGATTATATGTGACTCATTACCCTATTGCATATAAATACAAGTAGTTTTTCAGTTCATTTGATGGGTGATAGTTAGCGATGGGATTTTAAAATGCGCATTTCCCTCCCCCCTCAATTCGGGACTCGTCAACTGGATATCTCCAATCCCTAGTGAGTGATGATGTTCTCTCATTAAAACTTGAACCTAGCAACCTTCATTTCAAACGCCATAGCACTATCCGCTAGACCACTCGGCGGGTTACAAGAGCCACCAGGCCCTTGTGTAACGTGTATCTGTTATTACTTGTTTTATACCAGACAGTAATCTAAAATGTGTAAGTGTTTAGGCTATTGCCTGGTTTCGCGTACCAAAAAGAAAATGGTGTAAGTCAAGTTTTGGGATCAGAAATCAACTTTTTGGAAGTAGAAGTGGTTAATCCCTCCGCCCCTCTTCGTAGCCCCTCCCCCAACAATCTGTCACATAGAAATGTGATTGTCCGACTTTCAGTCATGACTCGGTCATAGGTTCGAATCCTACTGTGTGGTCTACTTCAATCTGGGAAACTGAGCAGTGTTATCAACGCCCACACGATATTTGTGTGGCTTATAGCATTATGGTATAGGAAAAATCTGTACTGAGGAATAGATTAACTAGTGTCGTGAGTCGAACACCTTTGTTGTTTTGGTGCAGACTGAATTCTATCATTGGGTTTTTGCATTTTTTCAATAATTTAATAGTTCCCATTGTAGCATTAAGAAAACAATATTCAGCGAAGAGACTCTTTTCAACGAATTTATTATCAAGCTGTATATATATGGGATTTTTTTAAAAAGAAATTATATCCTTGGCAATTCATGACTTTAAGCCAGACCTTTGTGTACAAAAGATGTACAATCCCTACTTCTGCCTTGGCCGTAGAGGGATAGACATTTATTTATTTGATTGCATGGAGGATTTCATCATGAGCTGGCATCATTTAGAGAACCACTGGAAAACCTGCGAGTACTGGACAGCTGTTTCGCCCTAGTTTGGGACTCTTCATCAGCACTCACCCAGTGAGATTTGAACCCAGGACCTTCTGGTTATAAGGTGAGCTCGTAGACCATTGAGCCACTGGGACCCGATCCAATGGTCCTTGAATTCTAACTTCTGCCAATTCACGACATAGCGTGACCAATGTCTTCTTCGATGAGTTACTGCCTCATCTTCAACCTGTTGTACCCTACTGGTCACGGGTTTTCCAGTGGTTCTCTAACTGATGTCATCTCATGATAAAATCTTCCATGGAATCAAACAAAATCCCTGCAAAACCAATACTTGAAAATTTATTTATTTTGTTTATTTAGTTATTCTATGTACCTTTCCCTTATTACTACCATTATTATTATTATTATCATTATTGTTATTATTACTTACTATTCTCACTCTGAATCTTTTCCACTTGACCCACTTGTCATTCTAAACCCAAAATTATCAATTTTTTTTGTATATTTTTTATTTTTACAATATTGAATTCTGTCTTATCAAATTTCACACCATGTTATGTAACATTCTATATTCGTCTACTAATCTTATAATTATGTACCCCTTTCCAGCATCTATATACCTTATGTATTATTCTGTAGATGACATTAAACCATGATTATAATCACAAATATTTTAATTGCATTTCATACTACTATTATTATTTCATGTATTCATACCTTTGACCTAATTCCCTCATCGGATATAATTTCTTGAAAAAAACCATAAATATATACGATTGTACTGCTTGAGAATAAATTCGTTGTTGGAGAGGGTCTCTTCGCTGAATATTGTGTTCTGAATTCTATCAGGCAAATTTGCAATGTGGCCATACCATACTAGGTCGATAGGTGGTGGTAGGTAAGTGGCTTGTCATTGTGGTTGTACTTTGAGCTATTGTTGTCTATTAGATGGTTGGAGGTGATTGACTGACTGACTGACTGGTGAGTGCCAACAAGCACGAAACCTAGGTCCAAATCTTTCTTCCGAATCCTCCAACCGTCTTTTATTTTATTATTCCTTCACGTTCCCAGTGGCTTCAAGCTAGAGGCTTGAAGTTTCTTTAGCAGAGTTTATTTTTACAGGATGAGGTTGCTAGCCTCATGCCCAACCTTTCCGCTTTACCAGCTTTATTTATGGCTTAGCGAGGTAAATGAGTGCGTCTGTGGCCGGGGATCGAACCCTGGACCATGTGCATGGTCGGTGAGCATCCTAACCGCTATGCCACCGACCACCACCAACCGTCTAATGTAGTAATATTAACAGTGTTATAACTTATTCTAAATGACTGACTTTCACATGTTCAGAAATTTTTTTTGTTATTATTCGTGTCGTGGTGGTGGTTGGGGGTCATCTATCTTATCTATTGATATCCCTTTTGTAGAGTAGTAGTCATAATCATTGTATTAATTTTTTTCTCTCTTATATTAGGCCATTTTCAAACCTCACGAAACAACTAGAGATGCTATAATGGAATGGAGTGATGCATCAGATTCAACTGGATTTTATTTATGCACAGCTACATCAAGATTAGGATCAGATAGTCAATTATTAGAAGTTCGTATTAAAAGTAAGCCGATACACAATTGTGTGTGTGTGTTCATCTTGTTTGGTTGTTAGTTTGTTTTTTCTAGAAAAGGAATCGATTTGGACACTTTCCCGTTGATCGATTGGACCGAAGTGTTGTTGTGTTTTGGGCTCAGGTTGTGACATGTGTCGTCGTCTCCTTGTGCAGAGATGCTTTGACGATGTTTGCTTATTTAACTTGAAGTAAATTGGTAGATGGTGGTGGTGACTAGCAGTGATGGAATCAACCAGGATGCACATTTCGTCCTATTTTGGACTCGTCAGGTAGTGGATGTACCTCCATTCGTCGGTGGGTAGTGGGTGTTGGTGTTCCCACCCTATGTACCTATCGTTTCAAACGCCAAAGTTTTGTGGCTCAAGTCGTCTGGTGGATAATGCTTCGGCGTTTGAGGCTTATTGGAAACATCACTCACCGGAGAATGCATGTACATCCAGTTGACGAGTCACGAATAGGAAGAAATGCGCGTCTTTGATTCTACTGCTAGTCACCATCCACCAGTTTGCTTCAAATTCTTTTTTGTTGTTGTTTAAATTGCATCATCATCATCGTCATCAACCGCTTTTTACGAATAACTACTGCAGACTGTTGGCAACAGATATCAGTCAAAATCGTTGTCAGTGGTACAAATGCATTTATTCTCTTAATGAACTCTCCAGATCCATCGAATTCGCATTATTCTCTCTCCCGTACATTTCCATTCACATTACAGTCCCTTTGAATTTATTGTCTCCTCTTATGTGTGCTTTTGTAAAATGTGTGAAAAGTTCGACTGCTACTTCATTTTTGTGACAGGTTCTACCCTACAGGAGTACTAGATAGCTGTTTCGTCCCAGTTTGGAATTCTTCATCGGTACGCACATAATGACCCCCCACCCCGAAGGTTGAACTGAAGACCTTTCAGTTATGAGGTGATCACGTTAAACATTTAGGCACTGGGACTGGGATCCAATGGTCCATAGAATTCTAACTTTGACCAACTAATAATAATAATAATAATAATAATCTGCTTTATTCTAAAAACAGTACTTATAATACAGAATGGAGTTTTCAGCATTTGTCTTAATATTACATCTAATTTACTCAAAATATAAATAAAAATTGACCACAGGAATATGTCCTCATTTACAGTAGGAATAATATCAAAAATGTACAAAGTACAAAATGCGAATAATCACTATAATTATAGTAATAATAATAACAGTGGGTTTGTTTCGAACAATATTGTCAATGCGGTATGGAAATTTTAGCATGTTATAGAGGCATTGAATCTAATGTTCTCTTGACATATGCATGGTGAGGGGAAAAACGAAATCAAATAACAATTATTACAGAGCTTAAATGGTGTTTACACTTATGAGAAAATAAACAAAACAAAAAAGTGAGAGGATTATAAATATAAGAAAAAGAATAATAACAGTAAAGCTTGGTGGAATGAGGATGGAGAAAATGGTTTATTTACTCGTGCAAAGAAGGTTAGTTAGTTAGTTCGTCCCTGACACTATTTTCATCACATAAAATACGTGCCACCAAATATGGTGTCGTGGAGTTTTATATACTTAGACGTGCGCGCATAAAGTTTTCTGAAAAGACTTCTTGTTTAACCTGAGGAGACACAAGGTGAAAGTTGTGGGTAAAGTGGATGTTCACAGTCTGATAAAATTCCTTTAGCAAATTTGTTGCATGAAATCAAGTGCCTATCATCAACGACGATGTTAGCGTTACCACCACTCACCCTACTGATAGTCTTCAGAGTCCTACGAAGTATGACATAGTCTTTTTTTTAAGCAACCCAGGAAGGAATAAGGGTGAACAATAAAGAAGAATAGGTAAGATGCACAAGTAGACAAACTGTAAGAGGAGGAGGAGGGCTTGAGTTATGCCCGAGTGCCTAATTTTAATATTTAACACCACCGCTTGTCTCAATGTCATCGGTCAGTATTTGTCCTTAATCTCGACTCGGAGAAACACACTGATCATGGACTTAATATGTGTATTAATAAAATCGCAAATTCATGTAGCGGGAGAGGATAAAACACTTGGCGAATGACCTTTATTAAGGGAAAACACATCATATTAAAGCCCGGCTAGGTAGGTAGGTAGGTAGGTTAGAGGAGAATAAATTGTTCTGATCGTTTGGCAGTAGGCCTAATTGTGAAACAAAATGTCAGGTAGTAGAGGTTCCCACTTTCTCTATGATAGACACCAGTGATATTTTTAATTCCCCGTTGGCGTTGTCTTCTTTTGTGTTTGTCCGTGTGTGTGTATTGTCCTTATTGTGCGTGTCATGCTTATTCTTATAATAATAATAATAATTTGCTTTATTCCAGAAACAGTACTAGTGGTACAGTGTGGAATTTTCAGCACATATCTACAATATTTGCATCTAATTTTATCAAACATTTAAAAGGAGTATTTCAAAAAAAATAAAGGCAACAACAACAAAAACAAAACAAACACAAAAATAATAAAAATAAAATGCGAAAAAATACTTAGAAGTAGAAAGGAAAATAAATAATTAATATCTCATTATTGGGTAGTGGAAGCTATGATATGTTTATGCATGGTGACAATGAAGCTATAGCCATACAAGAAGTTATGAAATGATATTTAAGAATGTTTATCGCCAAGATGATCAGTTAATTTGGTTGAAACAACACTAAACAATCATAAAATAACATTTCAGGGTTGTTGTTTTGTTTTTTATTGTCAAGTCTAATGCAGTGTTTGTAGTGGTAGTGTGAGTAATCCTGCATAATACAAAATTTTAAGATGGTGATAATGGCGTACACAACCAATGATTGTCAGTTAATATTGCCGAAAAATATAAAAAAATAAGAAAAAACAACCACAAAACTAATAATTACATGATGGTTAGTGACAGGACAATTTTGTAATACTCGTAGTGCTAATATAGTCGGAACCAGTAGATACACAAAAGGAGAAATACAGTAAAGTACAAAAAAGTAAGCCAATGTTAATAATTTAGGTAGCTAAGTATGTTTAAGAAGGAGTTCACTATAGAATACAAAATAAGAGTGAAATAAAAGAGCCTAAAATTATGTTATTAACAATAAAGCAAGTCATAGGTTTCGCGCTTAACATTGTCTCTGTCACTAAGAACACTTTCTTATAATTCTCTCTACATACTTCCTCACTAATCTGTCGTGGTAATTATAAAACATCAAGGTTTCTCTTATTATTATGTATCTCCTTCTCCTGTTGTAGATTTTCTTTGGTACTATTTATAGCCAATTTTTTCCCCAATCACTACTACTAACACATTTCACTAAATAAATCCTATTTGCACTGACACATGATGAGGTGAATTGAAATTTACACATACCGGTTATATTTATATTTTACTTCCTATCTTGTCTCCTTTTTATGATGTAATGCAACACCTGAAAGCTATCCTTCGTCGTGACTGCCTAACTCACGCAAAAGTCAGAGTTGAATCGTGTCAAGAACCTTATCGTCCAACAAAAAATGCAGGAACAAAAAGTGGTGATGGGTGGTCGGTCGCCAATTGGGCTGAGGAGAATGTTGAATGACGCCGCCTGCTGATCGAATGGAATCCGAATGGTGAGGAACGACAAGCAGTTGACCGTGGTTTCAAGGATGACATGGAAAGGAAATAAATACCTATGGGCAGTCGTATAGAGCCAGCTAGAAAAAAAGACTGAAGTCAGAGAAGAGAGTGAAATGGCGGTGTCCTGTTGAAGCCCCATGTTCTACTAGGAACCCGAGGAAATACTAATACTAATATATGTATTTTGACTACTGTAATAGTCTGTCGAGTTACGTGACCTGTCTTTTTGGTAATCAATAATCATGACTCATCTGTTTTTTTATGGGTTTTAAAAATATATATTTTAATTCTTTTTATAGGCAAATTGGCTCCATTATGGCCTTTCATCGGAATTATTGCTGAAATCTTGGTCCTTGGCATTATAATATTGGTTTATGAACGAGCTCAAGCTAAACGTCGTCGTGAAGAGGAACGTGCTACTCTGTTGAAACCAAATCCAGAAAGTGATCGTTGTTAAATAATGGACTGACTGACTGACTGGTTATGGTAAGTGTACGCGCTTTATATATTATTTGAAAGTGTATGATGTATGTTGTAATATGTATTTCATTGTGAGGTTTCGAGCTTCAGCTATGAAGGTTCAGTAGCGTCTTGAGAGGTGGCTACCCTCACTCATAAGCCACCTTCCCTCTTCACTGGGCTTACTATCCCGGCTAGACAATTTCCAGCCATACCACCAATTGTCTTCAGCCTTCATTGGTTTTCGGTATCTCGAGGACTTCAAAGAGACTGGGAGTCTACACGTTCCTACGTGGCTGGCTCATGGACCGATTCCATGTTTTGATTTAGCCCCCACTGGTTATTTTCCGACCTGATCCTATGTCACCTAACATTGCTCGTTGAGAAAGGTGGCAGCTCAGTATACGTGATAAGTGTCCTAACCATCTCGATCTCTATGTAGCTTCACAACCTCGTCGATAGATTTTTCCTCCTTGCCTAATACTCGACGCCTAACCAACTCAATATCGCTCACTATATTATACCACTGTAGACAGAGGATGAAAAGCAGACATCTGCGGTCAGAGACAGCTAGCGAGGCTTTTCATGTATTCCACTTTCAATGACCATGTCTCACTCACAGTCATAAAAGAGGAGGACGGGGCAAACTGCTGAGCAGTACCGACAGTTTTTGATCGGTAACCAGCGAGAGATGGTGTCGGTTGGTAAATGCCGCACGAACCTTCTGTATCCTCGATGAGATTTTATCAACGATCGACCTGCTGATGGGGCTGATGCAACTTCCCAAATACGTAAAGTGGTCAACATGGCCAGTCACGACTTCACTCGTACCCATCTTTATGCTAGGAGTGAGTCGATGTAGCCTAGTCCTCTAGCACTACCTTACATTTGATAGGAGCTAATTGTATGCCAAACATCCGAAGATTGCTGCTGCTCAAGGTGTTCAAAAGACTAAGGCATGGATTGCGTCAGTTTGGAATCCAACCCGGACCATTTGTGACAAGCTTTCTTCCACTAAACCACTGACTTATATATGTATGTATATATATATATATACATCAAAGAGAGGTGGAGTTCAGCGAAGAGTTACTGTTTTCGGCGATGCCATTATCAATCTGTACAATCGCATATATAGAGAGTAAATTTTCTCACCATCAAAAGGAATTTGAACAAAGAAAGTAGAAACATTGGCGCGTAGAATAATCTGGATCCATTTTATTTCGTCGGTTCTCATCAGCTGCGCACAACCTGAATTCTTTTATAAAATAAAAAAGTGTACAATTTTAACAAACTTTTGTTCATTAGCAAGCATATTGTCAGAGCGTCATAGTGAAATAAGGCGTTGCGATTTACAGTGTCTAAAGTGTTACGACACATATATATATATATATTGTTAGAGAGAAGTTTCTTGAAAAAAAATTATTAACAGTTGTGTTGTTGGGGTGGTAACAAAAGAAAATTAGTAATAGTTACGTAAATAGATAAGAGAAGATCAAAATCTTAAAATTTCGGTCCGCATGAGGGCAGATGAGAAGTTGATGATGTAATACAGTGAACAGAACTCAGAAGATCAAGAAAAATTATCTCTTGAGAGTCAAGCGAAAAATAAAGGGGGGGGGAGTGAAAAGATAAGTTAACAAAATTAGAAAACAAGGATTTACTAAGGAGTGAGTCACCAGGGTAATTAAAGTCCAACAACGGATTCTCTTTGGACACATAAGTCAGGATTCAATCGCTTTATTGCTAAAGCTTCAGCAAACCTAAGAAGACTTGAAGTACTTTGTCTGTTAATTATTTTGAATGATTCCAGCACATCTACTCGGTGTCCTGTGTCAATCAGGTGTTTGGCGATTGAAGAGCTTCAGCAATTCAGTCCCTTTAACCGGAGGCTCGCTCCTTGGTACATATTCGCAGAATCTGACATAGACCCTGCTCTCTGTTCTTCCAGTGTAACTAGTCCCACAGATACATGTGAATTGGTATACACAGCTGGAGGTAACATGTGAGGCGTACTTGTCAATCTTTGACTGCACCAGTGAGGAGGTTGTTCGGGGTAGAGAGACTAATAATGCTGCAGGATACGTCCTAGACAGAGCTGTGCTTAATCTTTTATTTACCATTCTCATAATGTCGTCGCCCTTGTAGTCGAGTTTGATAAAAATAGGCTTCTTACTGGCTGTAGCTGTATCATCAAGCTTCTTGAGTTCATTCTTGCCATATTTGTTAATGAGACTTTATGGGTAACCATTTTCTTTCAAGCATTTTTCAAGAAGCATTAGTTCACTGTCTAGTTTGTTTGGTGAAGGAATTGTTTAGATAACAGATTGCTTAATGCAAAGAGCGTTAATCGGGAAAAACTAAAATAGGTAAATTGGATGATGCAATACAACTGACGAGATTGAGAGTAGAATTCAACTCAGATTTGAACGAAAGTCAAGTTAACACCATTGGTATTAAGGGGTAGAAATTTAATAGAAATGGGGTAAGGGAAGAGTATAATGCAATTCAGAAACAAACAAAACAATAAATATTGCGTATCCAGTGTTAAGACGGATCAGATCCATTGTAGATCTGATGGTTGAATAAACTGCTTTTGTCTGCAGAGTTTAGAATTTAACTAATGTAAGTGGAAAACTTGGGCACTATGGTGATAGAATGTAATTCCATATTAGATAAGTTTATTTCAATCATCACACAGTGATCCAGATGCAGTATTAACAACTGGATGACAAGGTTGGTTTCGAGCATAAATTATTACTGCTCATAATCATATCAATTTTAGTCACACGTTTTCACATTTTGTCTTATATATATATATATATATATATATATTCTTTCTGTCTCTCCAACTTCCCTTTTTTGTTTGTCGCCACCTTCCATATCTCTGGTATAGGTGTTGCGTTGCGTCATTCCGATTGCACGGGTTGTGTAGTGTTGAATCGATAAACAAAGCTTCAGTCAGTGATTAACCTCTCTCTCTCTTTCCGCCTAACTATATTAGCTAGACGTGGAGTAATTGACCCTGTTAAGTTAAATGAATTAGAAAAAACAAAGATCAGGCATTGTACTGCATTGCATTCACTTGCATGTAATCACATAGAATAAGGTGGTTGCGACAGGGGGAAAGTATTAAAAAGTAATATGGAGATAGTTGGAGACAGAGAGAGAGAGAGGTTAATCACTGACTGAAGCGTTGTTTATCAATTTAACACTATGCAACCCGTGCAATCGAAATGACGCGACGCAACGCAACGCCTAAAACGGAGACGTGAAAGGTGGCAACAAACAACAAAGGCAAGTTGCAGAGACAGAAAGAGAGAAAATATACATAAGACAAATTGTGAAATCTTGTCATCCAGTTGTTGATACTGCATCACCACTGTGTGATTGTTAAAAGAAACTTACCCAATATGGTATTTAGGATTTAACATCTGAATTGCCATTGCTGCTGCAGTTTAAAAAAGTTTGATTAGTTCTGTTTCAGCAAGACTCCCGCGTGTTCTGTAGGTAACTTTGACGTTCCTGTGTGGGGTTAGCTTTGGTGCCCAGATTCGATCAGGCGTCTGAGGATAGGGCTGCTGTGTTGCTAGTGGGGGGGAGGAACTCTTTTTTCTCCTATACTTTATAAAACCATGAGGGTAAGTGTTCTATGATATGTATTTGCTTAGCAAGCCAAGCACTGGGTACGGCTAACATTACCGATCTCCACAGGAGTAGGTGAATTGATAGATACACCACACTGATGAGACCAGCCAGCAGTGGTACCTTATCCTTCAAGTTTATGCGAATTATTACTTTTGTGGATATATATACATATATATATATATATATATATATATATATATAAATGTAAATACAACTATCGACTGAATTTAATTCACCAGTGATGACCTTGTATGCACAAAAGTAGGTCAAGTAAACATATATATCGTTAATATATTTATTTATTCACGGACTAGTGAGTGACATTATGTGTAGTCAGATCGTAAGCTTATTCACCTAAACAATGGTCACCTAACCTATCGATAAGAGGTGGTGTACAATACGCTCGGCAAAACAAGTAATTTGTAATTCATACATTTAGAGGTGAACTGTTATCACATAGCTTGTTTGAGAAACTGAAATTACTGAGATGACTTGTATATGGTCTGCGTGATAGCCTAAATGCTCAATCAAGAGAGCTATCATAAATGAATAAAGCTACATTCTACTTATTGATTTATATATGTATGCGTAGTTGAATGCCACTCACATCGATGATCAGCAGTGTTTGCCTAGCACCCTGCACTACCTACATCTTCTCGTTAGTTTTCTTGTCAGTCTTCAACGTTTACGTATTTTTGCCTCTGAAGTATTCAGTTCTGGTCACGGATTGATATCAGATCAAGACGACGATTGAAAACTAGCAGGGAGTACTGAACAAATAATCGTTTCGTCCTAGTTTGGGACCCGTCGGCAGTATGCACCCACCGGGTTTTAATCCATGAATAATAATAATGGAAAAACCATTGTAAATCGAAGAGGAAAGAAGAGGAAAATTTGTAAAAGTAAAATAAAAGTATGCTATCAAGGTAGATTTAAGCCGAGCTGCTGTCTCCTTTTGTATACAGAGATCATCCGGCTTCTTTAATCTAATCGTACAGGCTTCAGCAAAACCTAGCAGAACTATTTTCCAAGAGTTGATTTGTAAGAATTCAACCTATTTTTTCGAGTTTGGCCACGGATTTCTATCGGTTAGAGAAGCATTGAAAACCACCAGGGAGTACTAAACAGCTGTTTCGTCAGCCTACTTCGAGAATTATGGGCAGTACCCCCCAATGGGTTCGAACCCAGGACTTTCCGGTCACAAAGCTAGCTAGCTTGTAGACAATTAAGCCACTGGGACCCGATCCAATGGCCAGTGCCTATGAATTCCAACTTCTGCTAACTGATGATATAATTCGACCACTAGCCAGTGTCATCCATGGCCCGTATCTGCCCTCACACCCATATCTAGTTACCTGGGTTCTAGTGGAAGATCGTGACCAGTAGGGTACATCAGATCGGGTGTGAGGAGAAATACTCGCTATGGATGACACTGGCCAATGGTCACGTTATATCATCAGTTGGCAGAAGCTGGAACTCATGGGCTGACCATTCGGTTGGGTCCCAATGGCTTAGTGGTCTACGAGCTCCTTGGCTCGTATCCTGACGGTGAGTGCTTACTGCCTATGATTCTCAAACTAGACTGAAGAAGAAACAGCTGTCCAGTATTCCGAACTGGTTTTTAATGGTTCTCTAATCGATATCAATCTATGGTCATACTCGAAGAACTACTTTTTTCCTACTCAACGTCATCCCGTATGATCCCAGTCCAATAAATATCGTGTTATGATTGAACTCCTTTGGGTTACCATTATGAAATGCCTATAGATGGATATCAAAGCAAGAATCGGGAAAGCAAGACAAGCTTTCACTACTCTCAAGTCTCTGTGGAGGTCAACAGCAACTCAGCATGAAAATGGAAATAAGATCCGGATTTTCAACTCCAATGTGAAGTTAGTGCTACTCACTATACGGATCAGAGACTTGCACTGCGCGTCATAAAGAGCATCTCAAACAAACTACAGACCTTCATTAACAGCTGTCTTCGCTCAATACTACTCAAGATCAGATGGCCGGCCAGAAAAGATCGGAAACAGAGATGGATCTCTGGGAGCGAACCAACCCAGCAGGAACCGATTGTGAAACAAATAGGCAGGAAGAAATGGAGATGGATTGGCTAGCCATACTCTGAGAGAACAAACCGTCAAGTGACATCACTAGACAAGCCATTGCTCGAATGGAACCCGGCCGAAAGGGAAGCGGCGAGTTGGTCGTCAGTGCAAGGGTGACTTGGAGGAGGTGATGTGAAGAGGAGATGAAAACGTGTGGGCAGACTTGGAGCCAAGTGAAGAGTCTAGCAGAGAGCCGAACGCAATGGAGACGTGAGCGGCTGAAGCCCTATGATCCTCTAGGAATTAAAGGAAACAATAACAATAATAATAATGTAGATGGATGAGGTAGGCAGGAGGTGTAATTGCTTATCATTTATGTCATACTCTATGTAACATGCTTGCAAAAATTTTGATTCATTCTCCTCTGCTTTTTCTGTTCTTTTGTAGTGCGCAGTCCATTACACACACACAGCGACAAGTCATCACTATTTCGGGAGTAGAACAAAATTGACTTTTAATCATTAGTGTTTAATCTCAATCAATACCTCTCACTGACTGACTGCCGGACTCACATAGACACTCACACACACAAACACACACTCTCTGTTTGTGTCAGTCTGTTTCGTGTGTGTTAATATAATAACTTTCTTCATTTAGCCAATTTTATATAGCTTACTATGGAATACATATACATATATATATCATTGGAAATTCAATTTTTAAAAAATATTTTATTTTACTTTTTCTGATACGGGATATTATTTGTACTACTATCTAATCATGGTTATGATTACGATAATGATGATGACAATGGCGTGGCAAAATTTACTCAATCTCATCGCATACTTTTTCCCATGCTGTTTCACCACTTTGTGCTCATTATTACGTAATACTTTTTGTCTTTTTTTAAAGATATTTTATTTTGCCTAGTTTGTCGCTTTGATTGATGGAGTGTGTCATTTAGTTCTCTGTTATTATAGCCCTCATCATCATGCTGCCTCCCCCTCCCTCCTATACACATATATACCCACCCAATCTTCTCCTCTGACACCTTCCCCCCTCTCGTCTCACAGATGCAGGATATATTGTTTCTAACACTACACACACACATGCATATATCTGTCCATATATATTACACGTGTATTCAATTGTGATCTTGTTTTAGTCCAGTATCTACTATCCTCTCTTAATATCTCTCTCTTATTTTTTATGCCCTTCTCCCCCCCAACCCCATCCCAGGCCCCCCCTTCATGTTCTATTCACTATTCCTACTTATTACTAATATTATGCTGAGTAGAATTCATTTCAGTTGTCATTGCTTGCCTATCTATCTACATAATATATATCTTGCCTGCTCTTCTAGTTTTTTATAATTTCATTTTAATGGATATATATACAACTCAGTAAATTTTTAAAGAAATAAATATATTACTACTTAGAATCATTTTATTTTTTGATTGTTCATGATTTATTCAGTAGTGTGTTGTGTTATTTTTGTCGCGTTGCTGTTATTATTATTATTGTCACGATTATCTCGTTATTCAATAGATTATTGAAGGTTGTGGGCAATTCATTGGTGGATCTGGTCAGCGGAATAGTACTAACTGTAGTAGAGAAGCAAGATGAGGAAGATGATGTGAGTAAAGGAGAATGATGCTCGGGAAGGCTTCGTGTGCTTTTGGAAGTGTGTGGGCGGTTGTTACTTTCCGGCTGCCCACACCGTGTCAGTTAACTAAGTCTTCGGGTTCCTGAAAGAGAAAGACGGTTAGTGTTGCGCGACTGCAGAGCCCAGATGACAACTGCTTGAGGCCAGTCAGACACTGCCTGTATGAACTGGTTTCTTGGATCGGTTCCGTATTAGTAAACTTACCGCCGGTTACGAACCACCGTAGGGTAAGGCGGGATGTACAATTTTTGGGGTCGACCTTTCCTAACCCCCTTTCTCCAGAGTGAAGAGGCAGCATAGCTGCCATGCTGGTCATCTGAGGGAAACACCCTACTGCTGTTACACCGCTGTTCCCCAGCAGTACGACTTCGCCTTCAGACCCGCAGCATAGTGTAGGAAAGATCCTTACACTATGCCGGTAACTGCTTTTAGTCTAATCGCTATCCTAACAACCTTCCTGGCATGGTAGGACCTGCTGGAGCATTGGTTCCAGCCAGTGTAGCTTGTTGGGTCATCGCGATGTGCAAGCCCGACCACCACGTCAATGTAGCAGCTATCGGTCGGGGATCAGCTAAGGTAGTAAGCATCATTTGCCCTCTCACACATATACATATGCAATGGTTGAGGCTCATCGCCAATTGTATTGTAAAGCCATGGAGTATTGGACGGCTGCTTCGTCCTAGTTGGCGACTCTTTAACAACATGAAGCTATCGGAGTTCGAACCCAGAGCATTCCTTGTTACTAAACAATGGAGTATACCAAATCATATAAAAGAACAGTTACTCGCCGATGCTATTGGCTAGTGTGATTGCATTGTATATCGCAAATTAGCAGAGATTGAAATTCATGGACACTGGCCATTGGATCAGGTTTCAGTGGGCTGAATAGTTCATAAGCAGTTAGCCTTGTAGCAGGGAGGTCCTGGGTTCTATCTCCGGTGTGTGGTTGGTGTTGCCGTGAAGAGTCCCAAACTAGACTGACGAAACAGCTGTCCAGTATCCTGGGGTTTTTCAGGGGTTCTCAAACTGATGGCCATCCTGATTGACTTTGCCACTGACCTTAAGCTGACTGATTGTTTTCAACATAGAACTTTGCACCGATGTGCAGCAATTCAAGTCGCCACACTCCAAGTAGCACACAAAGCAAGAGAAGAAAGTAGAAGAAATGCATTATAGAGACAGTAAACAGAGATATGAGACAAAAGGAATAGTAATAACGAAGAACAATATAGTTTAATTGGAAGTTGTAAGTGGATTATCTGCACCAGCCATTGAGAAGTATTTTGAGCCATATCACCGATAATTGTCTCCAGTTATTGGTTTTTACTGTCTTGAGGACCTCAACCAGTGACGAAGTCTACACCTTCCTGCGTAGCTGACGTAAACTAACTGTTGTGGATTTCATTGACTGATGCCTTGTTTTCGTTTGAAAACCAAACACTAGCTCTTTTCCAACAACGTGATCCATGGTATATCAGTTAACATTGCCCGTTGTCGAAGAAGGCGACCGATGGCGAGGGATGCATGCGTAACACATGTACTAACCATCTCAAACGGTGTAAGTTCGCAATCTCGTCGATTGATTTCCACTTCCACCTATCTAACACTCGACCGAGACCTAACCTCAATATTGCTCACCTAATTATATCACCTTACACGGGAGATAGAACGCAGGCACCTATGATCAAAGACAGATAGCCAAGCTTTCATGTCATCTACTTTCAATGACCAGGTCTCAGCTTTAAACGAGGACGGAGCGGACTGATGAGTAGTACACACGCCCTTTGGTCGACAACCAGCCAGCTAGTCGGATATCACGTCTACGCCATAGACTGCGTAAACTGGCATATGCGAAACTAACCGTCTTTATCCGTGCTGAGATTTCGTCAGCGATCAACCCGCTGGCGTTGGCTGGTGCAACTTCCCGAATAAGTGAAATGGTCAACACGCTCCACCAACCACTTCACTCCCTATTTCTAAGCTAGGAGTGAGTCGATGTAGTGTAGTCCAATGGCATCATCTTAAATTTGGCCGGAGCGAATCGCATGCCAAACGTTCGAAGATTACAGCTCAAGGTGTTCAGAAGACTGACCTTAAGCAGCAACTAATCAGAATCAAAGGGCATTAAAAGTTTCAAAATTGTTTAAAAAAGAGATGAATATAGATCAGGCTGTCCTGTGACCCGTTTATGATGATTCTGTTCTTCAATCTACCACGAAATTCCATTTCTTCGAAAACGATCAGTTATACCCTGTCGAAAGCTGCCCCTGCATATGCATATGGTCAACTTCAGTTAATGTATATTTCACACATAAATCAAAGACTCAATCTTCCCGAAACTCGTTAATTCATCTGTCAAATATCCAGATCTCAAAGATCCTGGACCTATCGCTCTTTTCAAAAGACTAAAGCTAACACGCAGAATACTATGCACTGTCACTGATGCAGAACAACAGAAAACGGTTGGACATTACGGTTGTTTATTCTTCAACAGATAAGAGAAACGGAGTCACAGTTGTTACCAAGTGCAGTCTGTAAATAAACGGTAATACATACATAATGTACAATAATACTTCTGATTGTATTTCTCCAATCTTCTCTTAAATGGAAACCAGTTCGAGTAAACAAACGGTTAAATGTTCACCATCATTGATAGCATCATTTGATTTGGTTATACCACATGTAACTGTGATTAGTTGTCAAACGTCATGTAGCCCGGGGTGGTTGTTATACTTTAACTTCGTTGTAAATACAACTGGTTGTTGCGTAATGGCAAGAGACTTGTGTTGTGTAGAAACTTTATAGATATTTTTAGTAGTATCAGCTATTTCTCGGAAGATTTCTGTGGAAAGCTATAATCGAAAATTGAAATCAATCAATGGAAGTTTCGACTGTTCGTTTGAGCCATGCGAGCGCTGTTGTCGACTGTCTGTTCGTCTATCTGAAAGATACTTGAGACTCTAACAACCAAGAAATAGCTGGCTCGAAATTGTTCTCAGTGGCTGAGTTGTATTCATTCTTTGCGATCTCTTGGGTATCTTAAATCCACTTTATTTTCCATGTGATGATTCTTTTTCCCATACATTTCTTTGTGTGTGTGTGTATGGGTTGTTAATTGTGGTAACTGGTGCACATTTGTGTAATGTTATACGTTAAAAGATTCGCTTCAGTCAGTTGAAAAGCCATCCTGTTGAAGTCTGATTGACACCCTTCTAAATGGTGCAAAGATTACAAGAAAAAGTGGTAGTACATTTACTGTGCTGTTTATACTATTCGTTAGTATGGGATGCTGGAAATCATTCACACTCACTCGTAACTGTTGTTCCCTTTTGTGTGAAGATGATTTAATCAGGTGTGTTCTTACATTGACTCAGAAAAGCGAATAGTTCAGAGAACTTCGGACAGTTTTGATTTGTTACTTAGATAGATTGATAAACATGGAAATAAAACCTCATTGACTTGATGAACCCTTCATTTCCAGCCGCCAGTGTCTCCTAGGTTTGAATCATGTGCTCCACCTACATCACTTTAAGCAATTACTGAGTAACTTTGTCAGCCTTCATACAGTAAGTATGGTCCCTATTTTGATACACGAAAAATCGGTTCCAAGTAACCAATTGTCATTGTGTCTTACTAGTCCATTCATTCTGCTTGACGTCGACTGACTGAGACTGATTTTCAACATGGAACTTCTCTCAGAAGTTCAGCCAATAGTTCAAGCTGTCACACTCTTTATATCGCGCAAATATAGGGAAAAGTGATTCAGAAGAACTATAATGTCAGCAGGAATTTGTGAGATTTAAATACCCCACCGCTTGTAAGTATGCTGCAGAAAAAGTGAGGTGTATCTCTTTCGTAACTGGATTGTCCATACTTTTATTAGTAGGAGGTACTAGTGGTTGGTCACAGGATTTCATCATGTTCTGGCATCAGTTAGACAACCATTATAAAACTAGACGGGAGTACTGGACAGACAGTTATTTCATCAGTACGCAACCACCGACGGGGATCGGAACCAAAACCTTCTGGTTACAAAGAGAGTTAGCTCGTAGATCATTGAGTCAGTGGCACATGATCCAATGGCCAGCGCCCACGAATTCCAACTTCTGTCAATTTTTACGATATGATAACGCGACTACTAGCCAGCGTCATCCGTGTCGAGTATTTGTCCTCACACCCGACTTGCTGTACCCCACTGGTCACGAATTCTCACTAGAATCCAGGTAACTGCCTACGGGTTTGAGGACAGATACTCGCCAACGACATGACATTAGCTAATTAATTCCAGTCGCGCTATTATTGTGAGTTGGCAGAAGTTAGAATTCATGCTTTGGACATTGGATCAGGTCTCAGTGGCTTAATTGTCTATGAGCTCGCTAGCTTTGTAACCGGAAGGTCATGGGTTCGAAACCCAGTAGTGTGGGTGCGAACTGCTGGGGAGTCCCAAACTAGGACGAATCAACTGTCTGTTCAGTACTCCAGTACTGGTTTTCGAATGGTTCTCTAACCGATATCAGCGCATGATGAAAACCTGTGACCAATCAAATTTAATCCGCGCAAACCAACACTTACTGGAGTACTAGTGATCAGTGTTTGTGATCCGTAATGATATTTTTATCTACCAGTAGTATAAACATTTTTGGTAAATGTTGAATTTATAACTGGAATTGAATCTCATTAGTAAGACAACAACAGCAGCAACATCCACCTCCAATCACCATAAACGGGAGGTATTTGAAAGAGGTTACTTCTTTCACTTATCTAAGGAGCATTGTCTCAACTACAGGAGGAACGGACGAGGATATCAA